TCCTCCTCAGCTGTTACCTGCCTCCAGTTACTTTCTTACCATCTCAAAATTTCTAGAATGAATAGACTTAGAGCTGTTACCTGCATGTATTTACCGCCCATTCGTGTCCTAATCCCTTGCAATCCGGTGATTACAATTTCACCTAAATACCACTCACCAAATCTAGTTGAGAGTCTCCACAGTTTTTGACATCTAATTACTAATTTCCATCTTGAAAGTGTTTAGATTCTAAAACACACCAATCTCTTGGTGCCTGTCCTTCTTTGGCCAACCCTCTTATCTATTGGTTCTATATTCTCCCTCTGTTCCCTAAATATGGGTATGTCCCTAGCCATTCTTTCCTTTCGGGATCTATGCCACAGATTCCCTATCACCCCCATGTGGACGACAGCCATCACCCACCTCTCTTAAACCCTAGACGGTTTTTTCAATGACCTGCTGGCAACTCACTCACACTTTTTTAAGTTTATCGCAACAGAACTCATAACTTCTCCCACCCCACGTACCTCCTAAACTAATTCCACCATTTCTTTTAACAGAACTATTTGCATATTCACCTTGCTCCAAACCTTCAGAATCACTTTCAATTCTTTCCTCTATCTCAAACCCACACACGAGTAACTGCAAAGTCCTATGGATTTAACATTTGTAATACTTCTTACTCACATTGACACCTTCTTTCCTTTCCTACTAACCTTTAGCCACTTCTGACTCTTCATACCACTGGCTTTCTTTTTCTAAACTGGCCTCCTTATCTTAATACCTGCGATTTTAATCTCCCACAATTCCCCACATACCTATAATCGAATTCAGAAGTTCTGGGCTGTGGCTGTGCCTTAGAATCTCAGTGCTGCTAAGAAAAAACAAAAGCCAAAGTCCTCCTCCCAGAGATTCTGAGTGAAGTGGCCTGAGATGGGATCCTTAGATCAAAACCCACAGGTTTTGTTTATTGTTAGTTTTTACTCTCAGATGACTTTAAAGTATAGCTAAAGTTGAGAGCCACTCACTGCTAGCTAGCCAAACTGGAAGTCAGTTTTCTCAAACACACACTTTGTTTTCTTACATCAAATTTATTCAGCTAGTTTTGTCTGAATCCCTTCTTATGGCATTTATTTCTCTGCCTTGGACTGACATCCATCCATTGTGCTTTAACAAATTTGTTCAGTTTTATAATTTATAAATTAACCTGGAACTTTTGTTTAAATCCCCCTTCCAACCAACCTTTCCTTCCTTCCAACCATTTTCCACCACATGTTCACATATAGCAAGTAGTTTTAAGACAGTTTTTGTTTTTGGCAGCTAGATCATGACTTTAGGTAACTAACCTCTGAACCTCACTTCTCATCTCTCAAGATAGATTAGATGACCTCTAAGTTTCCTTCTAGCACTAAAATTATAATTCTATATTTATCAAAACAAACTCTTGGCCTACTAGTGAATGAAAGAAGCTTCTAGTTCGTACATTTTCCCAAATATGCCCAACTCAAAACAGTTCTAGGTTGATAGTTTTTGCAATCAGAGTTATTACCATATCTAGCAGGATTCAACCATCTAATACCAATCTTTTTAACAGTGCAAAATAGAACATTTAAATTTGCTTTTTAATCACTATGATCCTAATGCAACCAAAACAGTGATAAGAAGTAGCATCACCTAAATTCTTAAATCTAGATGCCAAGTTGCTATTACCTTTTACAAACTGATTAGATCACTTTGTTATTACCACATAAACCTGGTCAGAGGAAGCACACATGCTCAGTTTTCCAGTGAAGTTGTTAACTTTAATATTAACATAAAAAGTAATCATGGCAATGAAGTCATTTGCTACTTATTTCTGATAGCTAAGGGCAAATAATATATGCAGAAAAACATTCCATGTCCTAAATTATAGTCAAATACATTAATTACCAAGTAAAAACTTTCTGGTAGAGAATGGAATGGTAAAAGCTAGTGTGCAGCATTAAGGCACTGGCTTACAGCTAAGAAATGAAGAAAATCCTGTATCAGATGAAGGAGTCCTGGCTGTACCCTAGTTCTCATGAACAGCTTATCCTCCAAGCTAGACTTCTGTTTCTATATCCTCAAAATGAAGACTTCAAGCTAAAAAAGCAGTTCCAAAATTGTCTGATAAAATCACCCAAGAAGCTTTTTAAAAATACAGAATACAAAGCTCCTCCCCTAGAGATTTTTCTGATATAATAGGTCTGAACAAGAGACTTCTGAATTTTTAACTAGTGACCTATTTGTTTTTATACATGGTTGAGAAGTATAAAGCAAGACACAAAACCTACTTCTAGCTCTAAAATTCTTCTGAATATAGAATAATGCACAGATGTTCAATAAATATAGAAAAATGGCTTGGTAATAGTCTGAGAGAACATTAGAAAAATCAGTAACCTGTCAATTAAGTACATGGCTATTTTTATTATACGGAATCAGTGAAATAATGGGGAAAAAAGTCCTGTCAACTGGCCAAAGAGAGGATTTAAAGTTTTGTTTTCAAGATGTTTAAACATGAAACTCTGTCTTGCAATTAAAACAAATGTATATAGTGGGAGGTGGGATAGGTTTTAGGAGAACTGTCTAGACCCTCTTTTTTTGTTTCAAAATGTGTTTCAAAGAGATTATACTTTTTTGGCTAAAGAGCTATAAACAAAACATGTCATGTATTCATCACTTTATCTAAAAACAGGGTGGAGGGGATTCAGGGAAAGGAGACAATTTCAAAAATAAGTCAGTCTTCTGGAAATGAATCCTCTTGAGTTTGGTTCCAATATCAATTTTAGGGTAAAAACAGGACTAGTTTTTAATTCACTTCCTTTCACTTTAAAGAATTGTTTTTTACATTTTCACTTTTCTTAGTAATAACTGGAATGTTCTATGGTTTGGATTTTGGAAACCGTATAATAATTATTACAGACTATAAGGTTTCAACTTAGGCCTTCACAAAAAGAAGCGTATCTATTTTTTCGCATTTCATTTTCCTGCTGGGTTATATTTTATAAACTCTGTTGACAGGAAACTACTCAATTATAGAAATCCCATATTGGTTTTATTCACAATTAAATTATCTAAATAAAACTTCTCTGAAATGAAAAAATTGGCAGTCAGAAAATATGCTGGAAAGAAACTACTTAACAAAAATATTCTTTCTGTCAAGCTGTGGTAGTTGAGGAATAGGAACAAATTCATGGAATAAGAAGGAAAGAAGGCTATCCCATCTATTTGGTATGTTATTTTTCATTTTTAAGTATTAAATAAATAATAAATCAAATTAAGCACTGTAAGAAATTTCAGGTCTGCTGGTTGCTTTCAAAGCTTTAGCACTATAAAATGATCAATATTAGGTACAAACGACTAGGACTCATAAGGACTCATGAGCACACACCCTAATACTTTTTCCTTCTAGGTTTAAACCATCACAAAGGAGGAAGTTTCGAATCAAAGTGTTTATACTTTGCCACCTGACAAGCTTGTCAGAAGTCTGAACTTATATTTATTGCTACTTCCAAATATGGGCCTGACATTATGCCAGAATGCAAATAAAGCCCTAGCAGCAGTAGACCACCATCTTAATATTGTAATTCTAATGTATTCTGCATATAGCCAGAAGTTAAAACTCCACAACATACCTCATTCTCATAAAAGTTATAAATTTCTTTCAATAAAAGCTACAGCTTTAGTCTGGTTATTATAGCTACAGACAGCTCTTACACCAGATCCTAATTATACCAAGAGTCTGAATAATAACAGAAAAAAATTACATGGCATTTTGAGGGAGTCTGTTTATATACTTCGTTAAGGAGCCAATCTCAACCAAAAACCCAATTTTAAGGGACCAGTGATAACATTACATTAACGAGTATAAGAGAAAATAACTTCACATTTTGAAATGCTATAGATTATGAAGTAGCCTCCAAAACAAATATTCATTTCTAAAATGCTCCCGCTTTCAGAGCACAGAGAAAATTTTTGATTATATCAAATGTCACAACGCCAACTGGTAGGTTTAGTGGCTTAAGAGAAAGCATTGAAACAAGTTTCTACCACTTATGCCTTGTCTAATTAAAACAAAATCAAAGCTTATTTACAAATAACACATACTCCTAAAATTAGCAGCCAAATCATCCAAAAGACAATGACCAAAACAAAAAAGCCGGGTAAGAGTTTTGGTAGTCTAAATCGCAGGTTCAAATTATGTCAGCATCTTATTCTGAAAAGCAGAGAATTATTTAGGTTTGACATATCACTTAGGAATAGGGAGTCAGTAAAACTGAGTCTGAAGATTCACATAAACAAAATTTTATCAGACCCAAAGATTCTAGTTATGAGTGGTTTCAGTAGACTAAAAAATAAAAATATTTACTTTTATACAAAGTTTCAGGCCCTCAGATTTTCTTATTCCAGAGAACGTGACAATATGTAATTTGACCGGGCCAAATTAAAGACTTAAAGAAAATGAAAAGGTAGGGACGGGAATGTTTTTAAAACATCTCTTTGATAATGTGTACTATTCCCTTGGTCACTCTAACTAATCTAGAATGTTTTATTAAAGTGACAGTGCCAGAGATTCCTAGGATGCCTATAGAACTAAGTTCTTTAAGTTTTACTCATGAAGACTAATTTTTGGTTAACCCAAGAGAGTTAAAATAAACATTTTTTAAATTACAGACACGTTCCTTTCCAAGAAATTATGATATACACAAAACATCTTGCTTACAAAATAGCCAAAGTAGGGAGTGACTGTTAATACTAATTGCAAAAAAAAGTTCACTTTATAAAGTGATTCACTTGGGCATTTGTTGAAACAGAATTTGGATCACAAAATTTTGATAATGCCTTTCCAGGAATCATCTAGTTCAAAATTTGAACTCACCTATGTCTAGATTCAGTATGTTAAAGAAATAAAATGGGTGCGTATGAAGAAAGAGTCAAAGCAAATGACAAAAATCACCATAATAGTACAGGCTAATAAATGAAGAAATCAAGAGACAGTTTCATTAATTAATATATTTTCTGCATTATAGTTAACATATGTACTTTCCTCGTGTCACCTTATTTTCCGTTATGTATTGATATTTTGTTATATTCAGACATGAGTACATTTCAACAGTCTTTTGCAATAAATATCATAAAATAATAGAGATTCGCATAATAAATATTCTTTACAATAAAAAAGTTTAACAGACTTTTGTCTTAAAAATAGTCAGAATTCAACTTTGTGATTTATATATAAAATATACAAAAAGCACCACAATTTGTGGTTAAGGCAATGAAAACACAGAAAAAATTAGAATTACTCAGCTGTTAACTAACCAAGGGGCCAAAAGGACCATTAAGGGGCCAAGATCACTTTAGGCAGCATAGTTCTGTGACACCTATAGATCGATCAGCTATAAATATCAACTTCAGTTACCCAAGTGCCCTCAACTATGAGAAATTTGGTAAAAAATGTGGGGTGTCGAAGTAAGGCAGTTGAGTCCTTCACAAATATGAAAGCCAGAATAAAGATGAGCAAGATACAACCAATATATCTCCAATGTGAAGATTTACATTGTAAAGCAAATCTAAAATTACAGAGGAAAAGAAAAATACCTGGCATCTCCAGAATAAAAAACTGAGGGGAGAGAACTCTGAGGGGCAAGTAGAGGGCAGTGGTTAAAGGAAAATTTTTATGTTATAACAAAAATATATCCCCCATGCTTCTTAAGGGTCCAATGCTATGAAGATAGCCCTAACTGGAGACAGACTTAATACATAGCTTATTTAAGCAATAAAAACGTTGCTTCTTCAAAAACCAATTTCCCTGCTCCCAGAGTACCCAATCAAAAACAGCTCTAAATCATTGCAGATTGACTGGGTATGTGTGTGGGTATGTTCATGTACACAACTTTGACAAGTTGCCTGCAGAACAAGAAGGCTACACAAAAGCCCACTAGCTCTCAATACCCTCTTCAGTGGATGGCAGAGGCTCTTGTTATAAGTGGGAGCCAGGTGCAGTTTCACAGTTCACTCTTACTGAAGATCATCCGTTTGAGAAGAATAAGATCCATGAGTCAAACCTTGGGAACATGGGAAGAAAGGCAGGAAAATTGTAAAGAAAATAAAACCAGTATCTAAGAGAATCTTTTTAACAGCCACAGCTTGAAAGCTAAAAGTTCAGGAGGTCCAACCCACTTCCAAAAATCATGATGGTTTACCCTGACCCCTGGAGGGGCAGCTCTCCAGCTTACAATAGACAGTGTTGGAGTTCTTACATCTGCATCCTGGGCGATGGATCCAGTCATAACACCCCCTGCACAGTTTCAGGCATCCCTTAGCAGGAGGATAACAGAGTAAGCAAGGTAAAAACAGAGACATGGCTCCCATACACAGGTACCTAGAGCAGCAGTGGGACTGTGAACAGGAGCAAGGATTATCCGAGTAAGAATCCCCTTCATCATCATTGGAGCAGTGGTAGAAGATGCCCTTGACTAAGCACATGCAGGTTCCGTATTCCACCATGCTCTCAGCAGAGCAAAGGCACTGATGATTGCAGGCCAAACAGGATGGCAGGGTCCTGGGAGCTGTGCATTCTCCACACTTGCACTTCCCACACTGTTCACAAATAAATTTGTGCTGTGTCAGGTCCTCTTTCAAGGAACCCTTCAAGTCATCCACAATCAATTGCTTGGGCTGGGTCCGGATTGCCCTTTCAGACCTATTCCCAGGGACTGGTCTGGTTGGTGGTGACCTTCCTAACAGTCCCTGCTCAGAAGAGGCACTGCTGTTGCTCCCAGAACTGGCTGCACTTCCAGTGCTGGTCGATCTGCTCAAAATGGGGCCTCTGGCATTATTTGAGAGTCCTGCATGTCCCAGGTGGCTTGTAGGCCTATGCTCATAGTTGTTATTCACATTAACTGGTATGATTTCATGAGTCCTTTCATGCTTTTCTTGTCTTGGTGCTGTTCGAGGAGCAGGTCTTTTCACCACAGATGGCCCTTCTGTGTATTCGTTACTGCCTCTGATGGCCTTGATCTGGTCTAAAGACAAAATAGCAGCAGGCTGAATTTCTCTCTCATAGTCTAACCTCTGACGGCTATCCAATGTAGGCTGCTGGATCACAACTAATGAACTGCCACTGCCATGTTGATTTTGGGGATCCATGTGTAGTGATCTCGAATTCTGGCAATCAGTGGAAACCTGGCATGCATCTGAAATCCTAAAAGGAAAGCAAAGATGAAAAAAAAAAAAAGAGAGAGAGAGAGAGAGAGAAAATAAATGACAGGAAGCATTTTGGGGGGGGAATCCTGTCAAGTCACAAATTGCCTTATGTTTACAACTGGTAATGATCTCCTTCATCAGCGGATTACAATGATGCTGGGGTCCTGGCCAGAGTCCAATTCCAAGAGGCTGAGGACCACATCATGGAAGAAGAATGCAAGCAAGAGACCCCATGCCATAAAAGTTAAAAGTTTTTCTCAACTTCTAAAAAGCAGAATCAAGAAGTAATGCCTTTCTGTTTACAAATCTAACAAATAATTAAAATGGAGTATGCCCTTGTAGGGAATATTGAGTATAAGCACTGGAATAGCTCTCATCTAGAGAAAGCTCGGTATCAGTTCACTGGTGTTTTCTATAAAGGAAAATACCCATTTTTAAAAAAATTAAGAATGGCTTTGGTGCTCCTGCCTTTCTGTTATTTGTTTGCTGTTTCAAGCACTAGATTAATAATGAGGAAATTGGTCAAGGTATGCTTTGTGCATTAAAAAAAAAATCCAAGAGACTTCAAATGAACCTCAACATGAGAGCATTTTCCACAGAAACCAGGGTTTTAAAGCTTTCTCATTACTTACCTACAAGATACAAAAGTGAATATAGAATACAACAGTTCTCCGTGTTTTATAGCCCTAAAGCACATACACAAAACTAATGTACAAATGCTATGATGTTTAAAAAGCATTCACATTTGAAATCATGAAAGGACTTTTTTTTAAAAGTTTAAATTAAGGGATCACTCACGTAACAAGATAACTTTCATGCACAAGTTAAGTATTAGGCCTTTAAAGCAGTATGGAGAAATCCTGGCCATTTTAATTACCTACATTTCCTCTAATTTAAAAATCTGTATTTACATGACAGATCTTGATTTTCAGAAGCACTGCCAAATCTGAATCAATGTGCTTCTTGTAATAAGTACAGTAAAATCCTGATTAAAATAAGCATTTTATGTGTTTCCATACCAAGAGTAAGTTACTTCTAATTTATAATGCACTCTTCATACACACAAACTACCAAACATAAAAACATTTCCATTTTCAGTCAATAGTAAACCAGAATATTTCTCACACAAATTCCTTCTAAAGTCCACACAGATCCGTTCCAATTCAAGAATGAAAAGAAAAAAAATGTCCATTCTCAACTACCACCCTGAGCCAAAAACACCAGCTTAGGGAATAAGGAGATTGAAGTCCATTTCATCTCTTAACTGAACTGAAAGTCTATAGACTATGCCTTATATGTTAACTTCTTGGAGTTCCCCCTCCCTTTTTCTCCCAACTAAGACCTCCCAAAGTTTCTACTTTACTCTACCTTCTCTGTACACGAGGAGAAACATATTCGTGATCTGCTGGGCTTAGTCCTGGATTCCTTAAGGGCTGTTAAAATATTCCAGCGTTACTCTGCACATACAGTATCATTCCTCCTTGCAAAGAACTTTTAACCCGGTGCTTTTAAAAGCAGAGTATCTGAAAGGTCGGAATCAGATCCCACTGTTAAGAAAAGCCGTGGAGGACATGGAGAGTGTAGTAAAAACACCAGGCACACCTTTCATCTGCGTTTTAAATGATAGTTGTAACAGAGTTCACGCTGGCTGGTGAATTAGATTACCAGGTAAAATAGAAAATTAGCCCCCTCCGATCTGAAGCAAAGCCCCCTTTCAAGCACTGACAGTCCTCGATCCATCCCCAAACACCACTCGCCCGCTCTCGGCAACCTGTCTTCCCCACGGAAACAGGAGTCCAAGTCCAATACCTTTTCGGACAATCCCATCACATCCTAAGGATCACCGTGGATTTCCAACCCATTTTTGCGTATCTCGCCAAGATTTCTTTCAGATCGTGAAGAGCCTTCCGAGCTAACGCAGGCGCCAAAAGCAAGCCCCCGGTATGGATAGTTTATCAATAAATATCTGTCTATACTTTAAAGGCAAAGCCGGATTCCTAAAGGGCCGGCCAGAAACGAGCCGGGGGCAGGGGCAGCGGGGAAGCGTCGCCACACTGCAAGTTAACGACGGTGGAGCTGCGCCCTCTGCAATCCGAGCCGAGAGAAGCGGTGAATAAATAGTTGACGGAGAGGAAGGAAAAGGAAAAAGTTATGAATGAAAACAAGTTTTCTCTCTCGCCCTCTCTTCAGGCAGGAGGAGGGGAGGAGGCTGAGGTTACCATTACCTCAGGAGGGCGGACTTCCCATTTTTAAAGTGGCAGCGCCCTCTCCCCTCCCCTCGCCGCTCCACTGCTCTCCAAACAAGAATAAAGTTGAAGCTCGCTTTGGCGCAGACTAGTTCTGTCGAGGGGGTTACCCGCGAATTCCGAGGTTTGCCTCCCTAGACACACACGCGCGCGCACACACACGCACACACACACGCACGCACGCACACGGCCTTTCCCGGTCCCCCGTCCGAGGAAACTCCTCCACAGAAAGCCTGCCGTTGGCACATATCGAGAAGTTCCTCAGAGCCCTCCCGGGAACACCCCCAAAAGCCTCCTTGAGTCCATCTTTCGCGTGGAGGGGTTCCTTCAAGAGGACAACCCGGGCCACCGCGCCACCACTCCAGGAAACTGGGGATGGGAGACCCTACCTCTTCGCCCTCCGCAGCGGCGGAAGGTCGCCCACCGGGTTACCCAGCCCCGAGCGCCCCGGGAGAGAGGCGGCCCCGCGCGCGCGGGGGTCGCCCCTCCACTTCCCCTCCCCCTCGGCGAACCCCGGAGCCCGCACCTGCCGCGCCGAGCCAGCGGGGTCTGCGCCTCCCCCCTCCCCCCCGCCGCCCGAGAGCGGCCGCCCGGCACTCACCTAGGCCGAAGCGGTGGATGGGGGCCAAGCTGTGCAACCCGGCCCAGGTCCCCGTGCGGGCGGCAACGTGCACGCGCCGCATCAACCGCGGCGGGGAGGACGAGGAGGCATTGCCCCTGCTGCGGCGTGCCGGCCCGCGGCCTCCCCCGCCCCCACCGGGCAGGAGCGCTCCCGGCGGCCCCCTTCCGGCTCTGGAGGACAATTCTCCGGAGACTCCGCGCGGCCCAGCGCAGCCGACCTCTCACAGCTCGCGTTCGCCGCGCAGCTCAGTAACATCCACCTCTGGGGCTTTTCTCCTGCAGCCCCCTTCCACGAACCAGGAAAAAAAAAAAAAAATCCCTTCGGGACGGCTCTCGAGTCCCTCAGAAAAGCGACCCGAGGAACGGGCAGAGAGAAGAGTGCGTGACGGGCCCACCGACTGACACGCTATGCTCTGCGGGAGTCCTCCTCGGGTTCCGAACGGTCCTCGCGGGAAAGGAAGGCGTGGCGGCCCCCTGACGAGTGAAAATCCACGTCACGGACGTTCGAGACTCTGCGGCGCCCGGGCCGGGGCTCGAACCGATGTCTGCGGGCGGGTCACGGAACCGTGCAGGCCCCGACGGGGCCCGGGAGCGCAAGCCTGCGAGGCGAAGGTTGCCGCTCCCCCGGGGGTGGGTGGGATTTTTTTTTTTTTTTTTACCCGCTTTTTTAGGGGTAGCAGTGAAGGGAGCGCGGTTGGGGGATTCTTCTCAAGGGAAGAGGCGGGGCGTCGTCTCTTGGCCCCCGCGCAGGTCGAGGCACTTTCCCGATCCTGCACGCTGGGCAAGTGGGGGCACAGCGTCCCCCGGAACTCTGGTCCTGGCTGGGCAAGCCTCTCCCCGGCAGCGCTCGCTCCCAGTCGTCCGACCCTTCTGTCCCACGGCCGAAATGCCTGCCCTAGAGGATTAGCGATTGGAAAATAAAAAAAAACCAAAACATTAATTTCCCCTTCTTTCCAGGCACTCGGACGCGTACCGCGCTCAGCCGCCCAGGCGCAGAGTGGAGCGGGGTGGGCTGCCCGCCAGCTCGCCCGCCGCCCGCAGCCCGCTGCCATGTGCTGGCTGTTGCTGCTCCCAGTGATTGACAGGCCGGCGCACAGTCGGCGTGTCAGCAGCGAACCAAAGTAACATGCAGTCTTGCACGTTTTGCCGAAGTGCTTTTGCCCCTTGGAATGCCTAGGAGTTCAAACAACGTTCAAGCAACGCCTCTGCGCACTGGAAATCAATACACAGAGACGGGAAATTCAGGTTTTAAACAATTGCTTCGCTCGGGACTCGGTCGCCAACAATGCCTAAACAAACATGGATTTGGTCCACACACCGAGTGCCAGCCCCTCTTCGGCAAAAACCACCCTGTTTTTCACACAACCGACCGTTTCAGACTTCAAACTTGTTACCATTCGGATAAGAAGAAAAAGAAGAAAAGGACCCTGCTTTTTCTCTTAGCGGTAGCATTTACTTTAAGAGCATTCGTTTTAGCAGTGGGAATGCTACTGCTAATTTGAAATGCAACCAGTAATCTTAGATCTAAAGCGAGTTCAAAGAAATGTTCAGTTCCTTGCAAAAGCCAGCATTTCTCACCTAATCTTTCCTAAAAATATCTACGGAATGAAAGGAAGGAAACAGTTCTTACCTAACGCAAAGACTGGAAATTGCTTTTCAGGCACATTTACAGCGACTGCATCTGTTCCTTATCCAGGGTAGGGAGCTCTGTCCGCTGCTATCACTCCGCAAACCACTGCGTGCCTTACAGAGCAATCCCACTCCGGCGCCGCAGAATTTCAGCAGCTCGCCTCCACCTCCACCTCCACTCCAGGACACGCCTCCAGTGATATCATATGTCAATCACACGGGCTGCCTGAAAACCTGGAACAGGATTTTTCCAACAGTCGTTTCCTCTTTCGTGTATGTGTACCAACTTGGAAATGTTGCCCTGTACACTCCTGTGATAAACATCCTCTAAAACTTTGAGATTGCCTCTAAAAATCCTGCAAATGCAGTTTGTCACAGAAGAATCCTTTAAATTTAGTCATCAGTCTCAGTGAAAGGATTAGTGGACACAACCTTTAAGGTTGAATTAGAAAATAATATTGAAGAATAAAAGAAGATAAAAAAGTCATATGCCAAGCCATCACTTCTGATCAGCTAGAGAGAAAATGTATATTGATATAAAAAAGATGATAATATAACGTTATGGTTCCTATTTAAAGCACAATTCAGAATATTTGAAATCTGAAAGTTTAAAAGGTGGCACTCCTTACTGCAAATGTATAAAACAGTACCTCGTAAAGGTGAAATTTCCTGCTGTAGATTTTATAATAAGTGCTCTATCTTGGCTTGTGATAAAATTTCCTAAAAATCAAATTTAAAAATCCCAACTTTAATTTTGTAATTTGTATAATTTTGGGGGAAAAAACTACAATTAATTTATTTTTAAAAATCAGCTAATTGGAAATCAGTTAAGATAGAAATAATTTACCAAGAAGTTTTATAATTCTTAGTGATCTATGTTGTGTTACTGGAGGGAAAAAGTATTTTAATCAGGAAACTCGCTTTTTGTTTTCTTACAAACTACGGGATTTTAGACATTTATTATCAGAATGTGTACTTTATGCTGTAGTGAGGATAATTATATGTGAAATTTAAGGTTCCACAGAGACTTTTAAAAGATAGCTAAAAACCAAAAACATATAGCAAGTGGAGAGGAAATATTTTTTTTTCCAGGTACTAGATACCAGAAATAGCTTCAAGTCTTTGGGAGAAAATAAAGCAAACAAAACAAAAGTCCAGAATCTAAGTCATGTATAAATTTGGGTATGGAAATTTTCAATTCTTAAGCTCCTTCTTAACTATAACAAGTGATTCTGTTGAAACTGGTTTTTTTCTAGACTTTCAAATGTTTGAGCACTTTAAAAAATTAAAGTTGTATTTGGAATTAACCTCTTTGGAAGCTAGGGCAGTGCTAAGACCATCAACAAGAAGAAAGCATCACTAGAAAACAAAATAGAACAAGAACGAAGCCAAAAATCTACATATGCACTCTTAATATAAACTATATTAAAATAGGCTCTTTAAAAGGATAAAATCAGTTTTATTGTACATATTTTCTGTTTTTTCTTAGATCTCATATTTTGGGATGTAATGAACTTTAACCATTGATGGATAGGTTTCTTGACCATTAGAATGGATTTGGAGTAGTCAAATCAGAACCAGAATATCACATCAGAGTATCCTATTTGGTTCTTCAAAACTGTCTTCTCAGCCATCACCACAATTTTAGGATGAGAGGTCAGTTCACCAATATGATAAAACCAGGAGAGGGAGCACTGAACACTCTACACTTCCATAAATCCTACAAAAATATAGTTGAAAGATTTCAGTTACAAATAAGCTTCAAACTATTTCAATCACAGATGTATTAAATTACAATCTGCATGTGATTAAGTATTTTTGAATTAAAATAAATCCATGAAATTTTATCTATAACACCATCATCATGGATCATGTTCTATTTAGAAATCAAGTATTACGATGCACAAGTTGACCAATGACTCTTTAGATCATTTAGCAGTAAAATACATCAGTATGTTTTTCTCTCAATATTAGTTTACAAATAAATATAGGTATTGTCTGGCCACCCTGATCTAAAAGACATTTAATAAAACCTACTTCTGCTTTTGATTGCCTACAGCTCGTAAGAATTTGTAAAAATTCTAAACTTTAAGCTTAAAATAGACATTGTTCTTTATTTAGTAAGTTTAATTTCAGTGTACCTTAGCTAGAAATGGATAACTGGAGCATGAAGTTTCCTGGAAAGGAAAAACAATGTAAATACGCATGGGAAAATCTTAACAATAATTTTCAGTTCACTATTAAGATATGTCTAAAAGAATAAAGTGGAATGGAGAGTGAGCCTTGACGTGTTGTTCACTTTCGTGTGAAAACAATAACAGCCATCTCTTCTGCTGATTTGATTTTTGGAAAAAGAATAAAATAAAATGAAAAGACAATCTGGTAACTCCTCACAACTGCTAGTGATTAAAAAAAAAAAAAAAAGGTGTAGTACTGAGAAGCTTAACTTACTCATTTATCTACTTTACTTGCCAAAGGAGCAGAATCATATGTGGTCCAAGCTCTTGAAAAATAATACCCTGTTAATTCTCCCAATGTTTCTGTGAAGTCATGATAATAAGTATAATGTTTTATC